TCCGTTTTTTATTTATTTATTTATTTATTTATTTTTTTATTGGGAACACAGCCCTACAAAGAGACATGTGGAGACAAACACAAGACAAGACACAGGGGATGTAGGGACGACGTGCCGATGTACAGGGAGCAACTCGACCGACCAGGGGTCTCGGCGTTAGCGTTGCAACCTGGCATCGAAAAAAAGGGGGGGGGGGTGCATGGTCAGGTAGCAAAAATAATAATTTAGTGCGAGAAAGGGGCGCTAGTATTGCACCAAATAATATAAATACGTGTAATGACTAAACCAGAAGGGAAAAGGAAGAAAGAGAACAATAATCATAACAAGCAAGTACTAGTAGAGAGGTAAATACTAAATGGGTCTCAATATCATCGTCACAGGTACTGTGTGGACCACAGCCATCTCTTTCGGATTAGATCCTTACATACGTTGACCTTGAAGGTTTGGAGGCGTCTTGAATGAGGCTCGTGAAGCAGGAGGTCCGCAGGCAGGTTGTTCCAGGGTGTGATGGCGAAGAAGGGGAAGGATCGCAGGAGGTAGTCAGGGGCTGTGCGAGGGGGTGTCCACTTCAGCTGAAAGGCATGGTGCGTCTGACGTTTTTGCCGTGTGCACATGCTAGCTACGGCAGGGGGCTTGGTTGGTGGCAGCATGGCCTTTACCTGGGGAGGCCCTGGAATGTAGTGCAGCTTGAACAAGTATGACAGGGCTGCCACCATCCGGCGAAGCTGAAGACTTTGGAGGATGGTTCCAGGTCCCAGGAAGTGCAGGGCACGTTGCTGAACCTTGTCCAGCTGGGCCATGTTAGTTGCGGCTGCGCTCGACCAGGCCAGTGGGGCATATTCAAGTAGGGGTCGCACGAATCCCTTGTAGACCGTCACTCGACCATGGTCGTCCAGGATGGGTGCTGCCTTTCGTAGGAAACCCAGCCTTTGGGAGGCGCGCAGTGCAACACTGCGAGTGTGCGCTCTGTAGGAGAGAGTAGGGTCGAGCATGACTCCCAGCAGCTTCAGGGTATCTGTCTCCTGGAGTGCTTCACCTCCAAAGGTGACTGGTGGAGTGCAGGGGGGAACGTGCTTGCGATGTAGAGTCATGCGCTGTGTCTTGGCTGGCTCAAAACAGATACGCCACTTGCGGCCCCACTCCTCAAGACTGTTGAGGGACCCTTGGAGGGAGGCAGTGGACTGTTGGAGATCGTCAGTTGGCTGTACTAAGCTGTAGAGTGTGGTGTCGTCTGCAAAGCTGCTCAGCTGCGCTCCTGGAGTTAAACATTGTTCAATGTCACAGGTGTATAGAAGGAAGAGGCTGGGTCCTAGGATGCTGCCTTGGGGGACACCAGCCTGGATGGGGTGAGCATCTGACGTCTGGCCTCCAACCACAACGCGGATGTTTCGGTTGGTGAGGTAGTCCTGTAGCCATACAAGCAGGCGTCCGTCGACGCCGGCCTGCTTTGCTTTGTACAGCACTCCTGTGTGCGATACCCGGTCAAACGCACCGGCAATATCCACGGCGAGGACCTGGACACAACCGCCAGTACTTATGGTGTGGACCCATTCATGTTGGAGAGCCGTTAAGATATCTGCGGTTCCTCTACCACGTCGGAATCCAAACTGGCTGTTTGGCAACACCTCATGCTTCTCTAGGTAGTTCACCAGTTGCGTGTTTACAATGCCCTCCATGACTTTCGACATGATCGTTAGCAGTGATATTGGTCGGTAGTTAGATGCCAAAGATCTGGAGGACCGTTTGTGAACCGGGACTACATGGGCAAGTTTCCATGCCCCAGGTTGCACACCGGCTAAGAAGCAGAGGGCGAAGAGCTTTGCCAGTGGGTCTGCAAGTTCAGATGAGCACATCTTGAGCACACGAGCAGAGATGCCATCCGGTCCAGTTGCTTTTGATACAGCCAAGTTCGCCAAATGCCGTTTGACCGTTGCTGCGCGGAAGTGAATGTGCTTTAGCGTGGCATAGGCAGGTCGTTGCAGGTCAGGCAGGTCAGCAGCACAGAGGTCGTTATTGCCAAGGCTACACTTGTTCGCAAAATGCGCTGCAAAGCACTCGGCTTTCTCACGAGAAGAGTGGAACTCTTGTCCTGCAGGGTTGGTCAGCAGGGGGATGTCAGAGCAACGTCCCTTGCCTGCTGCGCTCTTGATGGTTGACCACCACTCTTTGTCCCGGAAAAAAGAGAACTCAGAAAAAAGCCATGATCTCGGAACTACTCGTAGTAGTAGTAGTACTGCTTGACCTAAACCGGAACTAAATCGTACCCGCACGGTACGCAGCGCAGACTGCACGTACAGCAGAACATAACCATGATAACGCGACGCAGCTTGGAAAGCCAGCTAGCTATGTATGAAACAACGGACCGCAAGCATGACAGCGGGAAATGCAAAGGGCCAGTCGGCAACAGTACACAATGACGATTTATGCTATTGGGTATCATTCATGGCTAGACCTAACACTGTATGCACGTGACATGTCGCCAAGTTATTGTTCTAACCAGAGGAGTAATTGTCACCTTCAGCAGCATGGATCTAAGAGTAAGACTAAGACTGTATTCATCATCAACACACACACACACACACACACACACACACACACACACACACACACACACACACACACACACACACACACACACACACACACACACACACACACACACACACACACACACACACACACACACACACACACACACACACACACACACACACACACACACACACACACACACACACACACACACACACACACACACACACACACACACACACACACACACACACACACACACACACACACACACACACACACACACACACACACACACACACACACACACACACACACACACACACACACACACACACACACACACACACACACACACACACACACACACACACACACACACACACACACACACACACACACACACACACACACACACACACACACACACACACACACACACACACACACACACACACACACACACACACACACACACACACACACACACACACACACACACACACACACACACACACACACACACACACACACACACACACACACACACACACACACACACACACACACACACACACACACACACACACACACACACACACACACACACACACACACACACACACACACACACACACACACACACACACACACACACACACACACACACACACACACACACACACACACACACACACACACACACACACACACACACACACACACACACACACACACACACACACACACACACACACACACACACACACACACACACACACACACACACACACACACACACACACACACACACACACACACACACACACACACACACACACACACACACACACACACACACACACACACACACACACACACACACACACACACACACACACACACACACACACACACACACACACACACACACACACACACACACACACACACACACACACACACACACACACACACACACACACACACACACACACACACACACACACACACACACACACACACACACACACACACACACACACACACACACACACACACACACACACACACACACACACACACACACACACACACACACACACACACACACACACACACACACACACACACACACACACACACACACACACACACACACACACACACACACACACACACACACACACACACACACACACACACACACACACACACACACACACACACACACACACACACACACACACACACACACACACACACACACACACACACACACACACACACACACACACACACACACACACACACACACACACACACACACACACACACACACACACACACACACACACACACACACACACACACACACACACACACACACACACACACACACACACACACACACACACACACACACACACACACACACACACACACACACACACACACACACACACACACACACACACACACACACACACACACACACACACACACACACACACACACACACACACACACACACACACACACACACACACACACACACACACACACACACACACACACACACACACACACACACACACACACACACACACACACACACACACACACACACACACACACACACACACACACACACACACACACACACACACACACACACACACACACACACACACACACACACACACACACACACACACACACACACACACACACACACACACACACACACACACACACAGGTGTCAATTAGTTTCATGCAGCTGCTTCGACAATGTAGGTCTCGTCAGTGAAGTTGCATAGTGAGTATTAGTGACCGCAGGATAATTTAACGAGGTTGACTGAAGTCTGTGAAGAGTGGATGCAGCTTGTGTTTATTGTTCTTAGAGGGTTGCCAAGCTGAGATGTTGCTATGGTTACATAGTAACAGAATGGTGGGCATGTGTGTGTGTGTGTGTGTGTGTGTGTGTGTGTGTGTGTGTGTGTGTGTGTGTGTGTGTGCGCGCACAAAAGACCAAAAAAGGGATTCACTGGCCAGAAAATGTCACTCCAAATAGCTGTATGGTGTAGACCAGGCTGAATAGTGACGGTCAATTCTTCAGCCTTGCAAGCTGTTGAATGGTGTAATCCCAGCACAAGTTGCTATGGCTTCTGCCGTAGCATTGCTATCATCGCCTCCGGCGATGGGCGTCAAAAGGTCAAAAGGTCAAGGTCAAAGGTGTGTGCGCACGTGACGTGTGTGTGCGCGCGTGACGCGTGTGTGCATGTATGTGTACGTGGGTCGCATTTGTGTGTATGTCGCGTTTGTGTGTGGGTGGGTGTCTGTGTCTGTCTGTCTGTCTGTTTTGTGGGTGTACCTGCATGCATGTATGCATGTGTGTGTGTGTGTGTGTGTGTGTATGTGTGCGTGCGTGCGTGTGTATGTGTGTATGTATGTGTGTGTGTGTGTGTTTCTGTTATTGCGTTCACAGCACTTGCATAGCTCTGGAGGGCGGGACTGGCTTCACCGTAACTATTGATCCAAATTGTGTTTGGTGTCCGGATACGAGATCTTGTGGCGTACGCGACTTCACCTGCCCGTACGTACTGTTCCGTACTGTGCCCGTAATTAACATACCCCGCACATTACATACGAGCCCCTCACGTACTACTGCAAGTCTACAAATGTTCGCCCTATTCAAATATCCGCCTCCCAGGGCTAAAACGCATTTTGGGCCGCATCAAATTGTGGCCTGCTCTGCTGCCGCCTGTATACACTGTCACACTGAACCTTGCAAAACAAAATTTCGGCCATAACAAATTTTCGGTCAAACATAACCAGCGTGAAAAAATGGCCGAAAATAAACATGCGCCGAATATTTGTTGACTTCAATGCAGTAGTCCCTTACGGACGACCCCTTACATACAAACCTCTTTTAGAGAACACTCTAGCGATGCTTCTGCCCCCCCCCCCTCCCCTGTGTCAATAGGAGTCCTGTCACATGAGGGTGGTTTGCGCTGCGCCTAGGGCGTCCAGTAACGACAAGTTGCACGGTATGGCTGCCTGCGATTCTCTTTCTCTTTCTTCACGTGAAAGACTCGGTCGTAGGGAAGCAGAGCGTGCTGATAAACCCGCGTGGTGTTAGTTATTGATTGTGTGTGTGTGTGTGTGTACGCATGTGTTTATGTGTGTGTGTGTGTGTGTGTGTGTGTGTGTGTGTGTGTGTGTGTGTGTGTGTGTGTATGTGTGTGTGTGTTATGTATGTGTGTGTGTCTCTCACTATATGTACGAATGTTGTGCACACACAGTAGCCAACAGTACCCTACTCGTTTCCGTGCCAGCGGACAACGATGCGTTGGGCAACCAGAGCCGATGACCTTCTCCGGTAAGTGACATAAAGATCAAGTCTGCTCTACAGTATGAATTCCTTCTGGCAATGACGTACACAATATGCTCTATAAGAAGAAAAAAGGACCAAAGAGCTAAAAAATTATTTTTAACAAATCCACGGTTCGCGTGAACGCCACCACCCTCTTGGATCAAGGAGCTACAAGTTGCACTATAATTATCCACTAACACCACCAGTAACTTGCAGCTCTTTAGTTTCCGCCTTCCAACCCGGCAAATATTTAGATTTTGATAAAAACGATTCAAAGCCTCTCAATTATTTTGGAATACTTGAAGTATAAATATAAGAATAATAATAATAACTACTTTCACACAAAAAAGCTCGGTGCAGCACTAATCACGGCAGGGGAACCCGACCCTCCACCATCGCCAACTCACGAAGTAGCTCTTTAGTCCTTTTTTCTTCTTATAAACAAATCCTTGGCTCTCCTCTCAAGTCTATCAATATGCTCTCAGTACGTACATGACTATTTTGAAGATGGCTTTACTTTCCAGTTCTGTAATTTGCGTGTGTATTCTCCGGAGTATAGGCCGCACTTGGAACGCTCAAAATTCACCCCGAAAAGAGGGTTGCGGCTTATCCTCCGATGATCAAATCAACGGTGATTAATAGGGTGGACGTCCGCATTTTCTGGCAAAACAAATAGTTGTGCAGCTTATACTCCACTGCGGCTTATACTCCACTGCGGCTTATACTCCACTGCGGCTTAACCTGTAAAAGCCATATATATAACGAAGTGCTAACTCTAACGAGTTAACGAGGAGAAATCTGTCGTTAAAATAGAAATCGTTGTACAGAAATCGATACATATACTGTCCTATTGAGCGTTGAGAATGGGTGAGAATCGTTACCCTTGATACACGTAAACCAGTCAATTTCGGGAAATCGTTAGATATGCGCCTCGTTAGAATAATGGCTTTTACAGTACTCCGGAAAATGCGGTATGTATTTGTAGTCACCATATTGGCGTTGTGACGTTTGCGATGTTTTGGTGGTTGTGGCGTTTGGTTATGGCGGCGCTGGTGGAGTTGGTTCCGGGCGTCTCAAACGTTTGGAAAGAGATAGAGTGTGAAAACACTGCCCGACGCAGAACGAGAGTGTATGCATGCACGCACGTGTGCGTTTTGTGTGTGTGCGTGTGCGTGTGTGTGTGTGTGTGTGTGTGTGTGTGTGTGCGTGCATGCGTGTGCGTGTGTGTGTGTGTGTGTGTGTGTGCGCGCATGTGTGCATGTGTGCATGTGTGTGTATGCCAGCATGCGTGCGTGTGTTTGTGTGCATGAAGGCAGAGGGGGTGGGCGGGGACTACGGCGAAAGGGCAAGGAAAATAACGTTAGGGCTGCTTAGGTTGTTGGAGACACCGTTCAATCTCTTCTTCCTTCTCATTGTTATTGTCATTGTCGTTGTATTTTGTTGTTTTGTTGTTTTGTTTTATATCCCAGGGTCTATTATCAAGTCCCCTGTAAACACAACAGGAATTTTTAATACCACGATATCCTTCTCATGCCAAGCAAATGCAAACGCGCCCATCACGTTCTCCTGGATGAGACTGGTTGGCTTGGAGATGGTTGCCGTGCCAACGTCTCGCAGCACGGTGACGAGCGTAGCGCTGGGGGACGAGCTGACGGAGACCAGCACGCTGACGTTGTCCGGTGTGACAGCAGCCGATGGTGGACAGTACGTGTGTTTGGCCAGGAACACTGGATCCTTGCCAGTCCAATCTGAACCAGCTACATTGTTCAGTAAGTCAGTCCGTGTAGGATATAGGAGTTTGTGGTGCACAGGCCGCGGTGGTAAGTTATGCCTACTGTATGTAACTGTATGCTACTGAGCGGAAAAAAAGGTGTCTGCCCTGTTGGAGCTCGGGCTTCCTGCCGACTGACTTGACACTTGACTGGCCCTTGGCGGCCGTCTGAGGCACACGAGAAGCGCGTCAAACTCTGCACAAACACACTGAGCCGAGCATTAACGTGAAGTGTGATGTTACGTTCTCTTGTGGTGTGGTGTTGTTTCTGTTTGCCTACTGTCCTCTGCTTTAGTCCGTCCATACATTGAGTCCGGTCCCAGTAACACATTGGTATTCCTGTCTCAGGCATTAACAATGCGTTGTGGTGGTGATGGATATCCGACACCGTCATTCCAGTGGTTCCACGCCGGCACCAACATAGCCATGTATGCCAGTCTGTATCCGAACATTCACTTTGTGGGAGCGTCCGGTCGTGACATCATCATCCAGCCCACTACCCTGCAGGTGGCTGGTTTGTACGTGTGCCGGGTGGTGAGCATACATGGCATGGCGCAGACTGAAGCGGCCCAGCTTACCGTGATCGGTGAGTAGGCTTATGAACACACCAGGCCACACTCGTCCTTATGAACACACCAGACCACACTCGTCCTTATGAACGCACCAGGCCACACTCGTCCCCGCTTATAAAGACACCGCACTCATCCTTGCTTATAAACACACCATGCCACTCGTTCTTGCTTTCAAACACACTCCGCACTCATCCTTGCTTATAAACACTCCATGCCACTCGTCCTTGCTTTTAAACACACCACACTCGTCCTCCCTTGGAGCATTCCCTTAGAGCCATGTGGGAGAACTAGAATTATAATGACACCAGGGTCACACGGCCACTTGGCTCGAAATCAGCGACGAAATGTTCCCCTTGCCAATGAACTCGGGATTGGACATGGTCTTCTTTCATCACTTTTTGCAACTTACATGTGCATTGTCAAGGGTTTAACTCGGATGGTGAGCCGATTAAATTATGGTGAAAAAAGGAGGACAAAATGTTACAGTTATGACTAACTGTTAGTTTTGTGCCATTTTGTCGCACTCGCTGACTGTATAAGATCTGGTTACGTTGGTAGACAGTCATAACTCGTAACATTTTGTCTTTCTCTTTTTTTCATCATAATGTCCAGGGTGTTGGGGTCGGTACAGTGGGTGATGCTAGAGTCATACCGATTCCGTAAACTCCCTTCTAGCATTGTCCGCCCTGATGCGAAGTCTTTCCGACGCCCCTGCTTGTGATGTTATGTCTGAATGTGTGTGTGTGTGTGTGTGTGTGTGTGTGTGTGACTGTGTCTGTCTGTCTGTCTGTCTGTGTGTCTGTTTGTCTGTGTGTCTGTCTGTGTGTCTGTGTGTCTGTCTGTCTGTCTGTCCGTCTGTCCGTCCGTCCGTCTGTCTGTGTGTTTGTGTACAGATGCTGTTCCAGCAAACAGTTCCGTTCACACTCCTCTGGTTGGCAGCGCTCTAGTCCTGTCCTGCCCAGACAACAATGGCCCCTTTGAATGGTATGTAGTGAGAGTGTTCAGTGCTGTCCAACAATACAGAAATGTTGAAGACCGGCAGGGTTTTAATGGCCTCCATTAAAAAGAAAAGAAAAAAAGAAAATTATCGTGCCCATTCCCGAAGGGAACTCACGACGGCCGCTAACACCCGGTAAACCCTAGCGACATTAGGTAGCAACTAATTTGTTTACCCAATTGAAACGAAATTCCGGTATTCTTTGTGATGTGTTTTGGTATGTACATGGCAGACTTTTTTTTTCATTGGAACTTTCCACACGTGAGCCTTCCAAGTTGGAAGGTTGTTGGTTTGCGCTTCGTAGATGTGTTGGAGCTAGGTGTCAGGTCGTCGAATGTCTCAATATCCTTGTCAGTTTTGTGCCTTGTCGCACTATCTGACTGTTTCATATATTAATATCTCGTTGCCTTGGTGGACTGTTAGTCATAACTAGTAACTTGTAGGTCCTTTTCTCTTTCCATATTGCTATTGGCTCTACATCCGAGTTTTTATTCACACTTTTTTTCTTGTACTATAGTAGAGATGTGCACGGACTCGTTTCTTTCATACGGAACGAATCGTTGAGCTGGGTGTGGGTTAGAGTCTCGTGAAGGTTCCGTAGATTGAATTCTTTGTTTAATTCCTAAGTAGCTCCGAGATCGCGCCGCCCCAAATAAGGATACACGACTTCAAAAGTGGAAATAGAATCGATGTTGTCTCGTGTACGAGTTCGCAACGAATCACAGAACCTTCCTGTTTGCACATATGTGTGCGCATGCACGGGCACCCATGCTTGCGCGCACGCACACGTTTATACATTCTCCACCTCTCTCTTCTCTCTTACTCTCTCTCTCTCACGCTCTCTCTCACGCTCTCTCTCTCTCTCCCTCCGTCCCTCCCTCTCTATCTCTCTATGTATCTATCCATCCATCCATCCATCCATCTATCCATCTATCTATCTATCTATCTACTGTACAAGCAGAAATATTCGTCTGGAATTTAATTTCGTCTTTTTCGTCCAAGGAGCTTTTGGACTAAATTAAATGCAGGACGAATGTAGATTTGTCTAGCTTTTCAATACACTCTTATGGTCCATGGACTAAATTTTCAACCGGACGAACTCCTTTTCTTCGGAGTAGGACGAAATTATTGACCGACGAAATTTTCTGCCTGTACAGTATCTAACGATCTATCTATCTATCCACCTATGTATCTATCTATCTATCTAACGATCTATCTATCCATCTATCTATCTATCTATCTATCTATCTAACGATCTATCTATCTATCCATCTATCTATCTATCTCACTCTCCTTGCAGGCGTGTAAACGGGACACTAATTGCAGGTGCTACAACCAGTGAACTGACGCTCAGTAACATCCAACCTGCTTCCAGCGGCCGTTACCTCTGCCAGCAAGCTTTCCAATTCTTCGTCTTCGTCTCGTCACCGGCTCGGATTGCCCGGGCGCCTAGCAACGCCTCGGTTACTCAGGGAACACCTGTCGAGCTTCGCTGCAATACACAGGCCAATATTTACCCGCCAGTGACCATCAACTGGCTGTACCAGGCAATAAACAGCCTTGGAGAGCCAACCGGAGAGCGTACGTCCCTCTCTCTGGCCGTTCTTTCCGATAATCTCATCTACGCTGGCGGTCAGGTCCTGCGTTTCAGCTCGGTTCAGATAAGTGATTCGGGTTTGTTCACTTGCTACGCCAGCAACACACTCGGCAATGTCACAGCAACGGCAATGGTCACTGTCAACGTTCGTAAGTACATGTTTTGTGCGTTTTCTCGTGCGTTGTGCGTGTCCACTATGGCTGCCGTGTCTGTTTCCCGTTATCGAGGGTATCTCTTGGCTAGGTGAGAAATTTCACATAAAAAATATTTATGATCCGCTCTGTATGGTTGTGAAGGTAGTGAAGTGAGTCTCTCGATAACTCTACTCGATGTAGAATGTGGTCTGTGTGCCTCAGGTAGATACTGTAATCAGCCGTCCTTTAGCTTAAGGACCGCTCTCTTCTGATCATGGGATTACATCTCCGACAGGGAGACCACCTGTCCCTGTGCATCACCTGTTTCGGAGTTTTTTTCTCTCTACAAAATCCACGTACAGTAAGACCTGTAAGTAATGACCACCCCTTTGGGCCGGAGAAAGCGGTCTTTAGTGGCAGGTGGTCTCTAGTGGCAGGTGGTCCTTACTTACAGGTTTGCACCGCACAACCATATGTGAATGTGAGACCGTCCGTGCATGGCAAAGTGGTCTGTAGTACCAGGCTGGTCGCTAGTCACGGTGGTCTTTACTTACAGGTTTTACTGTGTCTCCAGACACTAAAGTGAATAATGGAGTGTGGTGGTGGGGCCCATTAAGCTCAGCCGACTAGATGTCTCGGCTTCATAGCTTGATGGACACAGTACTGTCTGTTCCGGAATACCGTCTGTTCCTGAGCACCATATGTCCTGGAAGACTGCTATAGCTTGGTCCAGCAAGGTGTTTGCATCTCCCATGTTACACTACGAGTGCCGAGCGTACCTGCCAATGAATAAGTAAAACCTTTTTTTATCAATATAGCGCTGTGTGTCGTGATTGTCTTACCAGTCTCAACCATCCTTGTCGCTTGTCCTCCCTTGGCTGCTGCTGTTGTTGTTGTTCCTGCAGCTCTTGGCACACCTAACTGTCCAGTGTCGGCTCAGTTTCAGACTGGAGTTGCAGCTTCGCCGATTGTCAGCACGTGTAGTGTTACGGGACCGAGCGGAACGGTAGTGCAGATCCGACAAGGCTCCAGTCTCCTGCAGAGTGGAGGGCGTATTGATATAGGCACAGAGCGCAATGTCACTGCCGATCTGCACACTGCCACGCTATCCATCGCAGAACCAGTGGCTGGTGATCATGGTGAGGAATATTGTGGTAGCGACGTGTGTAGGTTTGCGCTGCTGCTGCTGCTGCTGTTGCTGTTGCTGTGTGGTGTGACCTGTGTTGGCCGATATGCTTATTCGTTCATGATCAGTTCTATCTCTCTGTGAAATGGCGCTGTCACTCTCATGTACTGTAAAACATGTAACTTTCGGTGTAACTTTAATTTCGGTGATTTCGGTAGAGAAACCAGGCACCTAAATTTAAATTACACCTAAAAGGCACTAGAGCATGAACTGTATGTGAAGGGAACGCTGGTCACCTAATTCTAAATTACACCTGAAACCTGGCAGGTCCCTGCCACCGAAATTTTAATGCACCTAAAATTACATGTTTTACAGTATGTGAATTGTTAGACTCGGTTGGAGAGGCAAGGATTTATTTATAAGAAGAACAGAGTGTAGTTTGTCAACCTTATCAGGGGCGTCGGAAGGTAATTTAGTGTGGTACGGTCAGCCTTCGAAAGTACAATTTACTGGTGAGAGAGGCGTGGCTGAGGAGACCAGTTTGGAAATTTAGAGCCCAAATCAGTGCATTTTATTGATCCACGGGGTACTTGGGGCAAATAGTGGTACGGTCAATACCGTAGTGACCGTTCCGTGTGCAACGCCCCTGCTTATGGTCACCAACTAACTTTTCTCTGTCTGCTTGTCTGTCTGTTTCCCTCCCTCTCTCTCTCTCACTCTCTCTCTCTCTCTCTCTCTCTCTCTCTCTCTCTCTCTTTCTCTCTCTCTCTCTCTCTCTCTCTCTCTCTCTCTCTCTCTCTCTCTCTCTCTCTCTCTCTCTCTCTCGCTCTCGCTCTCGCTCGCTCTCGCTCTCTCTCTCTCTCTCTCTCTCTCTCTCTCTCTCTCTCTCTCTCTCTCTCTCTCTCTCTCTCTCTCTCTCTCTCTCTCTCTCTCTCTCTCTCTCTCTCTCTCTCTCTCTCTCTCTCTCTTTCTCTCTCACTCTTTCTCTCTCACTCTCTCTCTCTCTCTCTCTCTCTCTCTCTCTCTCTCTCTCTCTCTCTCTCTCTCTCTCTCTCTCTCTCTCTTCTGTATTTTCTCTTTCTTCATCTGTCACTCTGCTGACACTCTTGTTGCTCAGCATTATACGCGTGTGAGGCCAGTTTCAATGGTGCGTCAACGCGATGTGAGTTCTTCCTTTCCACGACTGACACTGGTGGAAATGTTGGGTCATCCACGTCATCAAACACATCAGGTATGGCTTCTCTGTCTCTCTCACTCTCACTCTCTCTCTGTTTTTGTCCATCTGTCCTCCTGTCTCCTTGTCTCTCTGTCTTTGCGTCGTTCTGCTTTTCCATCCATTGAGGTACTCACAATCACTCTGTCTCCTACTTCAGCCACACTCTCTTTCACAGTTGCGGTATTTTGTCACACCTCTCGGTTCATCGTGCACAGCCATGCTGGGCCTTTTTCACTCGTGGCTGAAGTTCACCATATGCTGCCATTGACCATAGTGGTCTGTCCTTCTTTTTACCGCAATACCACTCCCTGCTATGACTATTGCTCTGAGTGGAGCTGGTCACTTCTGGTCTGAAGTAGCAGTGCAGCGGTGTCTTCTTGGAGGTCAGGCGTGCTGCGAAAAAAGAAACTCTGCCGAAGTTTTGTTTTATTTTCATGCGCCACCGTCAATCATTTCCCACTGCAACTGCCACTGTGTCTGGGTAGTCGCTGGCTGCCATGTTCCACCCCCACCACCACCACTACCACCACCACCACTACCGCCGCCGTCACTGTCACACATCACGTCACCACCATGCCAGGAGCCCTGCCATGCCATGAATAGCTGTGTCACACCCGTGCCAGGAGCACTCCTTCTGTCTTACTCCCACCGCCATCTCTTGCCTACACTCTGCGCCGGTAAGTGTGTTTGTTTATGGCATACTGGTGGTCACTGTTTATCAAGACATGTTGGTCACTGTTTGATCATGCCATGCAGTAAGTGTGTTTGATCATGGGTACACTTTGGGTGGGATTTCCCCTAGCATAACGGTACTAACCAGCTACATCCACTGGAGACCAATCGCACTTTAGTATGAGCACGGGTCTAACGCTCATTCGTTATCTGGGTTCAAGGATCTGTCAGAACTCTGCAAAAAGCTCCGGCCACACGAGGGCACGGATATTTATTTGTCGGCCTTTCCGAGTAGGATTGTCTTGCACTCGTTACACTGGCCGGTCCGCTCAGTGTGAGGTGTAAAGTTTGGAAAGTGCCATACTAAATGGATATGCAGGACCGCCGGAAGCAGTTATCAATTGGTCCGGTCGTACCATAGTCTTTCATACAGTTTGTTTGTGATAGGGCAGGGAAATTAGGGAAATTAGGGAAATTAGGGAAATTAGGGAAATTAGGGAAATTAGGGAAATTAGGGAAATTATCCTTCCTCAGTAGTAAACACATGTTGGTGGCCACAAAGTTGGTCCGGTGATAACCTGACCAACCGGGCCGGTTCCGGCGGGCCTGTTATGTTCCGTTAATGTAGTACTAATCCTGCTTTCCACTCCTGTTTTTGCTTCTATCCTTTCTCTAATCGTCCTGACCCTCACCCACTCTCCTGTTTCTGCATCTACCCCCTCTCATCGTCCTTACCCTCTCTCATCGTCCTTACCGGCCTCACGTGATCGCCTGCACCTCCCTGTACACTGCTTGTGGTGGCACCCTCCTTGTAAATCTCTTGTCATCCACTCCTTCTCACCTCCCCACTCCCTACTGAATCGGTGTGCCTTCCCTGTGTGTTGTCCCCGCCGGTTTCTGACCTTGCTCCTTGCCCTGCCCGTATAACCCTCTCCTCACCCCTGGTCCCCTGATAACTTTCCTCGTCCCTTGTACGCACCCCCCCCCCCCTATAATTCTTCCCTTGTCCCTGATGCCCTCCCCTGCAATCCTCTTTTCCGGGTCTTGGTCCTTTCATCACCCCTGATCACTTGCTCCCTTGCTCCCCCCCCCCCTCCCTTCCCTCTCTTGTTCCTACCCCTCACCCCTGCCTCTTTGCCCCCACCCCACCCCCCTGGACATGTTGCTCCTTCATGTTTCTATCCACCTTGTACCCCTTTGCCATGGCGGCTGCACCCGATACTGGCATACGTGTGCTGGCAGTACTACCTACATCTGACATGGACTCCCGTGTAACCCAGGCAGATAGCAGCGCAAAGCAGCAAGCATTGATCTACGGCGGAGCGTCAGGCATAGCGACAGGCGGTTTTGTCTTCGGTCTGCTCGTCGCGTTTCTGGCCTACAGATTGAAAAAACAAACTGGCACTGGGAAAGAGGTAGGAGGTCAAAATGTTGCGGCTGTAGATACTGCCACCCCGGGAGTACCCACTCCATTGTTGATATAAGCTGACTAATTTAGATAGCAGCACACGTCTGTTGTATCGTGTTGCACTGTGCGTAGTTATAGACCTTAGTAGATCTGCTGTGACCTGCCACTGCACTGGTACTCCATAGTCTCTTCCTATCATGATTTTTGAACAGCTTTGCGTAATGGGAATCTATGTAGTGAATACTCAAAGCCGCAGTTACTCTCAATCTATGGTAGTAAGTCTTGATCTCTCTGATGCCAGTAATGGCAACCCCACTTGAATCTCTTAGCCTGTCACCAGGAAACCCTAGATATAGGGTTTGACATAACGCTACACATAAAGACCCTATAATAGGGTTAGGACCCCTAAAGAAAGGGTTTGATCAGTCCTCACAACTGGGCACACAATACACACAGTTTCATTTGGGTTTTTTTGATATTTTCACTGCATTGCCATTGATGTTAGCAGGAGCGCACCTACGAAGTGCGCGAGTGTCGCCGCATTTGCTGCTTCCGACCCACGTGTGGATCAGCTGATGCAGAAACGGCAATGGCGGGAGTGGCAGCTGCGACAGCCGCTGTTGATGCTTCGCCTTCTTCTTCAGGAGCATCCGGCGCTGCTGGAACATCAACATCATCATCCTGAGTCGACACCAGGTCGCCAGGAACATTCTCATCGCCCGAGTTCGTCTCCACTAACTCAAGTTGCTCTTCCTCCATCGTGAAAAATCAAACCCTAGATATAGGGCCTAGAATTTTTTACGACAGCGCTGCACTAAAACTAACCGTACTCGAAGAAAATAGCAACAAAATTGTCACGGTCTTCAGCAAGAGAACCCTTCGTACATTCTACGTATGTGGGCACAGGCGTCTAGTTGCCATAGCAGCCAAGTGGGCTCTCAAGAGAGCACAAGATAGAACGCGCGGCTGAAAACCCTATAAACAGGGTTTGACAGGCTAAGTAGAACACCCTGAAAGCATGCTGTGCCACTCCACTACAATGACGTGATGTCCACCAACTATTCTGATGTAATACCCAGCTAGAATGATGTAATACCCGATTAGAATGATGTAATACCCGATTAGAATGATGTAATACCCGATTAGAATGATGTAATACCCAGCTAGAATGATGTAATACCCAGCTAGAATGGTGTAATACCCGATTAGAATGATGTAATAGTCAATTAGAATAATGTAACACCCAGCTAGAATGATGTAATACCTGATTAGAATGATGTAACACCCAGCTAGAATGATGCAATACCCAGCTAGAATGATGCAATACCCAGCTAGAATGATGTAATACCCTATTATAATGATGTAATACCCTTTTAGAATGATGTAATACCCTTTTAGAATGATGTAATACCCAACGTAGAATGATGTAATACCCAGATAACATGTACTATTCAACCAGCATGATGTAATACTCAACTAGCATTTGTGATAATCATAGCGTATTTATCTTGTTCTCTTTTCCGTCCACTATCATGATGTAATGATATTCAATTAGCACTACAGTCAGACCCCGCTTATCCGGTCCTCTTTTATCTGGATAGAAAATCGTTCGTTACCGATTTACAGCATATGTCATGCATGCATACAGTATGTGTGTTCGATTATCTGGTTCCCTCGCCTATTCGGATATTTTTGTGGAAAAACGAATGTGTGCGGTTAAGCGAGGTCTGACTATAATTGTGATAATATTCAATTAGCACAATGCCGTGCTCGACTGAAAGGAAAGTAATTTTTGGTGGTTCGCGTGGGACTCAGTCAGACTTTGTTTTCCGCTGCACCCTTGGGAGTGCCAGCACCCTTGGGAGTGCCAGCACCACTGGGAGTGCCAGCACCATTGGGAGTGCCAGCACCCTTGGGAGTGCCAGCACCCTTGGGAGTGCCAGCACCCTTGGGAATGCCAGCACCCTTGGGAATGCCAGCACCATTGGGAATGCCAGCACCCTTGGGAGTGCCAGCACCATTGGGAGTGCCAGCACCCTTGGGAGTGCCAGCACCGTCAACTGGATCAAGCAGCAAATGGAGGTGAGTCGACCAGACCAACCATAATCCTGGTCAAAGACAATGTGGTCGAAACGTGACGTATTTCCCATCTCCCATCGTGTAGTACCCCACTAACAATACATGATGTAATGCCCCAGCTAACATGATGTAATGCCCAGCTAGTATGACATAATAGTAACCAGTCAGTATGATCTAATGCCAGCTAACGTGATGTAATGCCCAGCTAGCATGATGTAATGCTCAGCTAGCATAATATCATGCCAAGCTAGGATGATGTAATAGCTGGCTAGCATGTTGTAATACCCACTGCTCTAATTGGAGGGGGGCGGGGTACCCAAAAAAGGAATATGACACAGCACACGATTCCTTGTCTCAGGAGTTACCTGGCAAGTCAATATTTGTAATTGTGAAGCAGTTTCACGCACTGCAGTGCCTTGGGGTCTTCACCCTCGGGGGAGGACATCCTCATCGTCCTCACCTCCGAGTTAGACCTATTCTGTTGCCTTTGCTCACTGTGACCGGCCTACTCACATTGACAGAGACTGGAACATACTGTTCCTTTGCCGACGTGTCGTCACACAATGAGAGGGAAGCCGTTTGGCGTTTTAAAAATCTGCGCAGGCCCCTGAGACAAGGTATGCTGCAACATGTTATCTTCCTGGCTTGAGTGCGCCTGGCTGCCATCATGAATAATCCCGCTATTGAATGATGTAATACTCACTGCAGAATGATGTAATACTCACTGCAGAATGATGTAATACTCACTGCAGAATGATGTCATAACCCACTAATGAATGATGTAATACTCACTGCAGAATGATGTCATAACCCACTAATGAATGATGTGTTAAAGGGAAACTGAACGCCAAAAATAAGTATGGCTTATCCGAAGGAGAATTGGGCACTGATTCCGATGAGCTATGTCTCGAGCGGATCAGAGAAGAGGAACTGTGTCAAATTTCATAAATAACACCTCCCATATTTGGAAATTGGCCTTGATGACGTGCGTACTGCTTAGCTGTCACCATGCTGTGCATGTTCAGCAGTGTAATTGAATGGAAGAAAACAATTACTTTGGTGTTTTGCAGCTCTGTTTCGTTCCCTGACGGTAACCAAATCTAGATGTAGGAATCTGTTGAGCAGGAGAGTGACACCTGTCTTCCCGAAGGCTGTCCAGGCTGCAGTGGTGATGAAGAAGACACGATCATCACCCCGAGATCGATCGTAGCGAATTGGAAAACTCATGGTGAATTTGCTTCCACTCCAAGGCAATGTCGAGGTATGAAGGGTGCTTGTACTGCCTTCCAAAGTGAAGAGGAGATGAACATGGCTTTGCATAGCTGTTGTTCTATGCCAACTTACCTACTCTTGCTGGTACCGTAGTGGCATATTGCAAATTTCGTGGACGAACAACTCTAGTCACTAGTGGCTAGTGAGCAACACTAACAGGTGAGATTTTTCAATTCGACAAAAAATGTTTTTGTTTGAGAACTGACAGTGGCAGTCATTAGACTCAGTAGGTGTCTTTGCTGCTTCTTTCCCTTCATTGGTAGGGTTGTGCTTGAATAGTATAAGTGGTTGAAGTAAAATAAAATAAAATAGAACATGTGGAACATAAATCTAATCAAGCATCAGTACATGTATTGCACAGTTCAACTTCAAAGCACATGAAATCACAATGATCACGAAGTTTATGTAATCAGGAGTACACCCTGTGTTCAACGAACACATACACACATGCTGTATTGCGCACACACATGTACACATGTGCGTGCACCCCCATCCCATCCCACAGACACACGCATGCAGCGCGCACATCCATACACATGTGCGTGTACCCCCCCCCACACACACACACATTCCTACCCATACACATGTGCGTCCCCCCCCCCCACACACACACGTGTGCACATACAGATACACAAACACACACGCACGAACACACACACACACAAGATACGTGTAAGTGTACATGGTCTTCCTGGTGCAGATGCTGAGCCAGCACAATGGAAAATACCTCCATCAAGATGCTTGATCAAGTGTTGTGATAATGGCACTGTTTGTTTGTTTTTACAAAGAAGTGTGGGAAAGATTACAATGCATTATAATTCATAATTGTTCTTTGCCTTGTACTGTGCAGACCAGAATGCTTCGTTATCAACTCCTGGCTTTCCATCGGCATGGTGTTCAGCTGCAGCGGCATCTGGTCCGGGGAGTTCAAGTTGCTGGATGGCTGCACTGACACAGGATGGGTTTGCGTTGGCAATGCGATACGGCAGTCATCCCACATCACGAGCTACATGTTTATGTAATTTATATTGTCGCTTGTCCAGCAACGTCAAGGCTCTGCATGTAAACACAGGAGAACACCATAATACTACTCAGGGGATAATAATTTTGGATATCAATTTCGTGACAATTATTAGATTCACACAATATTCACAACGTATGCAACACGATGCTGTCTATTGACACTACTTCAAACTGAAGTGCTCACTACTCCTCTCCCGTTTTTATCTCCCTCTACCTTATGAATACTCTGCATTACTGGTTTCGTTTCTACCCTTTCCATTGCTGCCAGCTCCCAGTCTTTTTCAATGCACAGCACCACCTTGACAGTCATTTTTGTGATTTGATGTACACATACTTTGAAGTTCAAATTCGAATTACATGATCAGATTTTTGTTCCACATTTTCTATTTATTTTTACTTCAAGCACAACCCTACCGATGAAGGGAAAGAAGCAGCAGAGAGACACCTACTGAGTCTAATGACTGCCACTGTCAGTTCTCAAACAAAAACATTTTTTGTCGAATTGAAAAATCTCACCTGTTAGTGTTGCTCACTAGCCACTAGTGACTAGAGTTGTTCGTCCACGAAATTTGCAATATGCCACTACGGTACCAGCAAGAGTAGGTAAGTTGGCATAGAACAACAGCTATGCAAAGCCATGTTCATCTCCTCTTCACTTTGGAAGGCAGTACAAGCACCCTTCATACCTCGACATTGCCTTGGAGTGGAAGCAAATTCACCATGAGTTTTCCAATTCGCTACGATCGATCTCGGGGTGATGATCGTGTCTTCTTCATCACCACTGCAGCCTGGACAGCCTTCGGGAAGACATGTGTCACTCTCCTGCTCAACAGATTCCTACATCTAGATTTGGTTACCGTCAGGGAACGAAACAGAGCTGCAAAACACCAAAGTAATTGGTTTCTTCCATTCAATTACACTGCTGAACATGCACAGCATGGTGACAGCTAAGCAGTACGCACGTCATCAAGGCCAATTTCCAAATATGGGAGGTGTTATTTATGAAATTTGACACAGTTCCTCTTCTCTGATCGGCTCGAGACATAGCTCATCGGAATCAGTGCCCAATTCTCCTTCGGATAAGACATACTTATTTTTGGCGTTCAGTTTCCCTTTAAGTTACTTGATAACTCATTGCTGAACGATGGTTTAACACACTGCTGGATGAGGTCATAACCCACTGCTGAATGATTTTTATAAAACCACTGCAGAACGACATCAAAACCCACTGCTGAATGATGTCATAACCCACTGCTGAATGATGTCATAACCCACTGCTGAATGATGTGAAAAGCTAATTGATAACTAATTGCTGAATGAGGTCATAACCCACAGCTGGATGTGGTCATAACCCACTGCTGAACGACATCAAAACCAGAGATGCAACAAATGATGTCATAATCCCCCCTGTTGCATGATGTCATACTTTTCTAAGCAATCATGCAAACAAATCTAGGTACACACTTCCTTGCTCAATCATGTGTGCGTGTGTGCTTGCGAGCGTGCGTGAGTATGTGCATGCATGAGTGTGTGTGTGTCCGTGTGTGTATGTGTGTACGTGTTCTTACGCTGCGCAGTGCAAGATGGTGTCGGAACTGCCACATTCGTCGATGAGCATGGCCAGTCCGCACCTGACCATAATAGGCCATGACTGCTGTGATCAGTCGTCATCGTCACTGCACGGGTGCGATGATCTCAGTGTGGTCGTTCGGCAGCATGGCTCCAGGGATGAACTCTCTGCCTGTTCACAGAATAGCCTGCCTGCGCTGTACCGGCTAGCCGGTAGATACAGTGTACCTAAACGGACCGCCGCCGCTGCTGCGAGTAACCAGAGTACTGGTGACAGCGAAAACCCTCCGCCTGGTTCGCCGCGTGCGGCGCATAGCTTGCAGAGCTTGCCGTGTCATGACAACGCCGTCGCCAAGTGTCTGTCCACACACAGCATCCTGTCCATGTTGAGCAGCAGCAGCAGCAGTGCTGGCGGTGGGCACACAAACTCAGCATCGAACCCCCGCATGGATCGGTGCCTAGACTCTGCTAGTGTGCCGAAAACACCGCCAACAGCAGCTGGCCACGGCCTGGAGGATGATCGTGCCTGTTTAGGCAACGAAGTATCCGTGCCGTTGTCCTCTGTGATGTACAGCACTACGAGTGATCATGCCCGTCTAGACAGCATAGTCTCCGTGCCGTCGTTGTCCCCCATGGTGTACAGCGCCACGAATGACGAAACGTTGTACGACTCCGAATACTCCACTATTGATATTAAAGATGCGCGCTGTCACCGCGACCGTAGTAACCTTTTTAGCGATGTACTATACGACGAGGTGCCAGGGGGCAACTCTATGCCTAAGGTGATCGACAGCAATGCCGATGATTAGATGTGGGTGTGTGGGCGTGTGGACGTGTGGACGTGTACGAAAGGGTGTATGGGTGTATGGATGTGTGGGTGTATGGATGTGTGGGTGTATCGGTGCATGGGGAAGAGACGAGCTTGTCTACACGGGACGCTCGTAGCTCATGCTTTTTACGCACTCCGGAACCCAACTGCGTTTTCGTCTAACAGCGACTACATGTACGTGGGTGTGTATGTGTGTACCGGTGTATCGGTGTATGCATGTATGCGTGTACCGGTGTATCGGTGTGTGCGTGTATGGGTACTTGGGAAAGAGGCGCAGATGTCGACGCGCGACGCTCGTTTCACATGCTGTTTTCCACTCCGAATGCCAGCTGCACTGCAGTCTGATCATGCCTCTGCGTACATGTACTATTCAGTGTTAGTATTTCTCAATATTTTTAAAAAATACTTTTCTATGCTATCACTTCTACTCACTGTTGCTGTCAAGAGAGACTTTACTTTTTAATCCTTGACTCTCCATCCGAGTATGAACTCACTGCTGTGTTAAGAAAAATTAGCGCTGGTGCTTTGTAAACCGGTCAATAGAACTGCGTACTTGTAAGTTAAAACGAGGTGTCAATGCTGAACGCTGATCGCCTCACTGGAATTGTACACGTTATATTCACGGGTGTCCGGAAGCCATCGCATGCTCCACGGTGCACATTGCAAAATATTTTGGCGCCATATATTTTAAACTATTTTAGACTTCTCTGAACCGCCCAAGGGCATGTTTTTAACTTCATCTTTTTTTTTAACTTGTACCGCACACAGCCCCCCCCCCCCACCACCTTTTTTTAACCTCCAAACCCCAATCCCACTGTCTGTGGGCACTGCATTACGAGTGCCCAGTGCATGTGTGGGATGATGTTGAAACGCTTCATTCAGACGTTACGGTGTTTACGGCCTTACGGTAAAAATTCTGCCATTGTTGGAGACCAGTCGTGGCCACACTATATGTCTGTGTGTTTTCTCCCACGGCTAAAGTCACGTCGTGACCTGACGTTGAGGTCATGTGACCTACTATCAAGGTCATGTTGATAAGGGTTGAGGTTGCATGATACAGTGTGAATGTCACGTGATCGGCGCGAAGTAGAATTAGTTTCGAGCACTTTTTTTCCTTGGGAAATGCCAATTCTCTGGCTACCTTGTTAAAAGCAGGCGTTGTGCCATGTATTCAAGAGTTTACCTCCAATTCTTTGCAGCGTTTCTCTATATTTCGACAGGCTTTTTCCCCCGAGTTTGTGTTTTTTCTCGACTTTGTATCATGTGCATGGGATGCAGCAAATGCGTGCCTGTATCCTTGGTGATACCACAAAATCCTTTTCTTGCTTCCTTTTTTCCACGTTTAAAATGTCCACCTCATTGCCAAGGGAGACACCTGGGAAGGGCGAAATGTATTTATTTATTCACAATCACGTGGCACTAGCCAATGAAAAGGTGATGTGGGCGATAGCCGGCCATGGCGGTAATAGAGGGGAGGAAGAAGAAAAGATGAAAGGGGAACGGAAATCACTGTCATGTTCTTTCAATGGCGGAATAATTCCTGCGGTTTTCCGCAGAAACGACCAGGTTGACGCCGGAAATTTGAAAATTGACTATCCTGGGGGAGTCACTGATTATGCTGGCATGCTGGGATGTGCTGTGGGATTATTCCCGGCTTTGTTCCAGCACTATCCTGCGCAGAACCGACCAAGCCTAGCTAGATGTGTTATGGATTTATACGGTGTGCTCACTGAAGCTGTGTGCGTGTGTTTGCTTTTGGGTGGCTAGAGGAGGACTGTGAATATGGCCTACTTGCGCTGCAGTGCTTGAAATGAATGATGCATTTCTCCCTGTTCCATTTTGTACATGTTGTGCCCGATTGGCCACGGTATGGTGCCAGCATCGGCCACAATGGGCGCTTTCGATTACACGTTTACACAATTCTGGAACTGGTTTTTAAATTCTGGAATGACCAGAATGAGCGTATTCCGGCCTTGCAAACGAACGACTGGAATTCACAACGATTTTATTCATGTCATATCACAAACGAAATTGATGAATCCCAAAAAGAGATCACGTACACCCTCGCAATCGATCGCACGCACGTGGACCTAGCATCGCGCACACGCCGGCCAGGGAGGCTCTTCGCGCGCTTGAGTCATGACCAAACCGGTAACACACCCACAGTGCAATTCTGGCGCCAGAATTAGAGAAATTCCGCCTTCTCTTTAGAATTGATGGATTCGACGGAATTGGATAAAATTAATTCTAACGACGGAATTTGTCACTTTTTGTGTAATCGAACTGTGCATCAACCTGTCCCTCCAGGAACTTGCGATTCCGCGCCCGCGTTGTTTTCCACAATTTGAACAAAAGTCCGTGATATCCGCGATATTTGAAAAATCATCCGCGTTATTGTTGAAAACTGTCCTTGATACTTGAAAAGCACCGCGATATTTCGAAAAGCAACCGTGATATTCGAGTCTTTCTTCGATGTTGTTTAGTTCTTGAAGCTCGTCAGTAGTTTACTTGTGAGATCGACACCAGAATGGAGAAATTTCTAGGCAAATCAGCGGCTGACAAGTCACAAAATAAGGCTCGCGTCGAGTGTTGTCCGAGGATGGAGGAAAGCTGTCTTGCAAGCTCCTGTCAGGCAGTTGAACACAGTCAGCGCAGCACACGTTCTGTTTTGTCATGCATGATTTATGCTGTACGACTCGTACATCGTACACCACTACAGTACAAGTACCAAATCGGCCGCAATTTCCGCAATTTTACCAGAATAATCCCGCAATATTTGACAAAATCCGCAATATTCCCCGCAATTTGTGGCATTTTACCTCGCAACTTTTTCCGCGATATTTCCGAAATGTCTCCGCAAGTTTCTGGAGGGACAGATCAACAATAACTAATTCTTGAATTGACCGAAGTGCGTGTAATCGAAAGCGCCCATTGTGTCGTTGGCTCGGTAAGCCAGCTCCGTGCTACATGTAACATCCGACGCATACTACTTGTGGTAGTGCTATTACAGGATTGTGTTGAGTGATGGAAACCTGAGGGCGGGGGTGATTAACCAGGGTGTATGTGTGGGTGGGGGGGGGGGGGATTGCACCCGGGAAAGTACGGTTACCTTGCAGGCCTTGGTGAAGACTGTCCGTGCGCACATGGCTGGGTGTATTGAACTGTGCAAGCCGTCTTACATCAGGAAATGCATGTTAACAGTAAAAATTCATTTGCCTGCGAGAACAGGACATATGGACCTATGGGACGGTGAGAAGGCAATCATGCCGGTGCAATTGGTGAAGGAAAATGAAAGTCAACAGCAGCAACAACAATAACAACATGCCTTGGCTCAGTGGAGCTTCAGACGGTTCTCAACATTTTGTGAAATGCAATAACTGCACTCTTTTCGGCGTTTGGCTTCCCAGATCACTACTTGCTATATTCACGTCTACGTCAAAGCAATTCAAAACAAGTTTGAAGAGCGTTTCAGAGCTTTCAGGGCTTTCAGGGCTTCTGGGAAATCCGCTTGCAAGCAAATTTATCGTTTGTCACCACCACCGGCTTCATGCTACAGTACCGTCCTGCATCTGCCGCTACGGTTTACCGGGTGTTAGCGGCCGTCGTGAGTTCCCTTCGGGAACGGACACGATAATTTTCTTTTTTCTTTTTTTTACAGTACCGTCAGGTCCCGAAGAACGACCAGGCTAGAATTTCCCCAAGCACAGCATACCAATGTATACAGGGTGACTCAACCGTGCATAGACTGTAATACATGAAAGTAAGAATGATCTAGGCTAGGAGGCTGACCCGCCAGTTCTTCGCCGACCCACAGTACTGTATGCGTAGACTGTATTACATGAAGATAAGATTGGCCTGGCTACGAAGCTGACACCCCCCCCCCCCCTCATGCTTTAGAGATGTCTGCTGTCAGTCAGCGATAGACTAACCCTGGTGTGTGTGCTTGTGTGTGTGTGTGTGTGTGTGTGTGTGTGTGTGTGTGTGTGTGTGTGTGTGTGTGTGTGTGCGTGCGTGTGTGTGCGTGTGTATGTACGTATGCGTGCGCGTATGCGTGCATGCACGTGTGTGCCATCTGTTTGGTGTATGTGTGTGTACGTATGTGTACGTGTGTGTGCGTGTGTGTGTTGTGCTCCGTGTGGCATAGACGGCACTCTAATCGGAACGGCGGTGGCGTGCGCCGTTGGAGGTTTGTTCATCGGTGCCATACTCGTCTACCTGACGGTGAAGAGAGCCGAGGCAAGACGCGCCAATGCGGTCACTGGCTACCCGAACGGCGCAGCAAACATTCAAGAGCGTTCCGAAACACCCGTACCGCCCAACACCAAGTTCAACGGCATGGCAACGGACTACCCGGACGGTAAGGTGCTGCCTGCGGGCGTGCCTGGAGTTGTGGCTCGGCCGCCGAATCTAGACCGTGGCGCTAGCCGCACGACCGAGGTCTCTCACCTGTCGTTGACGCCTTCTGGTGGGCATGGAAGCAATCTATCGCTCAGGACGACTACGCCGATGACACCAATCGCCTCGGTGCCTTCAATGTCGCCGGGTGTGATGAACGCCAACTTAAACAACGGAACGCCAGAGTTCCAGCGCCAGAACAGCCAGGTCTAGGACTGGCTGCGGCTGTGCGTGGGCGTGCCCGCCCAGGGGACGGGCGCAGGGCCGGCCGCGGGGGGAGATGCAAGCTCCTGCTGCGTCCTGCCCACCCGCCTGCCCTCTGCAATGTGCTGTGTGATTGCAGCAAACTCTGACCTCTCTCTCACATGTAAACACAACGGCTGGCCACACATCAGCAACGGGGGGGGGTGTTCTGTACAATTGAATGGGCGATGGATAAACGAGCATGGTGGAGCTCAGTGCATGCCTTGAGTTTGTAGGAGACACACGCTGCGTTGTGCCTGGCTTGAAAATCGTCGCTCAGCAGCTCAGCTGCCAACCCCCCCTTCAAGAACGACTTATAAAATTAATCTCTCTTGTAAACACCCTGCTGTTCCTGTCTATTTTAAACTCTCCCGCTCCTGGTGGTGCTTGGTCTCTGCAACTTGGAAAACGGAGACCTGCGGAGCGGAGTGTACGGAGTCGAGTCGATATCTTCCGCCTTCTAACTGCTGTATCTGCCTGAATGTCTCGTAACTAGACCCCCCCCCTGGATTTCTTTCGCCATGCTTTGATTTCTTGATACTTGGTTTGGTTGTCGATGCACTGGTTCAGCAGCAGCAGCAGCACATGGCGTTGGTGTCTGCTGTTGTGCTGGTGTGCTTGTGTATCTTTGCATTGTGAATGTGTGTTGTCGACAACGACGACGTTCCCGATCGCGCCGGCAATGATATCCGGCGTCGGCGACGGGAGTGTGCTAGAACATTTTTTTCAACGGCACGCAGCCTGCCCCGCTGCACCGCTACTTGATCTACACGCAAGTACATGACTCAAGTCTGGTGAGTATATATGGCAGCCTGCACGCCTGCTTTAATTATACGAGCTATGTCGCTGCGTTGCCATATTTGTAGTTTATTATTCTGTTTTATTTTTTTGCTGTGCTCTTTATGTGTTGGCTTCCGATTGGCTGCGAATTTGAATTTCTGTATTTCTTGACCGCGTTCCGGCATGTAGCGTTGCGCACAATCTTCTTTTGACGGTTGTCGTTATAGTTTTAAATGTGTTACCAATCGGATATCTGTTTCTCTGCACGGCTTTGCTCGTTTCGACTCCAAGTCTCTCGTGTTTGTTCAAAGGTGGACACAAGATCCGCTCAGCTCTTTGTTTGTGTGTGTTTGCCACTGCCAGTAGAGTTTGCACATTAAAATTTTTGGTTTGTTTGCGTGCAGTCGGCTCTAATTGCACGAATAAGTTGACAACCTCCGAGACTGTGTTCTGGTGTCGGTTTTAAAATTATTAGTACTTAGAACTCAGTGCGTGGTTTCAAGCAGGGAGTAAAATACTGGTATTTTACGACTCCCTGGTTTCAAGGCAATCAGTGGGGATGGGGTTGGGCAGTCAGTACACAGGACATGATCAGGAGGAGCATGGTGAGAGCAGGGCAGAGGATCACCGTGGAGCAGGGGATGAGGACCAGGGGATAAGGGGCAAGGGGGCATGTCGACAGTGGAGGAGCCGGGGTTAAGGAGCACGGGATAGGACCAGGGGATACGGGGCATGGGATGAAGGGCATGCCGACAGTGGAGGAGGGGCAGGGGACAAGGGGCATGGGGTGAGGAGCAGGGGATGAGGAAGAGAACAAGGGCGGCGGCGGGATTAGTTATAGCCTGGGAGAGAGAATGATTATACAGGTACAAGAGAAGTACAAGTTCCTGTCCCCTTGGGAAAAACGCGATGCCGGCAATGCTTCCAGCAAAATATCGAAATTTCCCACGAAAAGAAATTGCTGGCAAATTCCGAGCAAAATATCGAATTAACAGAGGATCCGGGTGTGTTTTGGTAATTTTATTCAAATTTCTTTGGTTTCATTGGGCCAACGTCGTGCTGAAATAGCTTGTGCAGGTTGTCAGGGGTACATAAATTTGAAATCATGCTCTGTCCCCGGGGAAAATTGCGATTCCGCGGCCGCGTTTTTTCCCCCTTTTTTTGCGATTTTTTAAGAGACCGCGTTTTCCGCGATTTTCCCGCGTTTTTTGAACTTTTCTGTTGCACTACACGTACACACAGTGCTGTTCGGTCAGCAACGTCTCATCCGGTGGCGGCTTTGTACTCAAATATGACGAGCGCTTACACCAGAGACTTGTAACTGATTGATTTCACTACACTGTACATACGCACTGAAAATTGCCTCATATCAACTGCAAACTTGCCGCCGCGAGATGATATCAATAATATTCACCGCATATTTACCGCATATTTACCGCAAATTCACCGCAAATTCACCGCAAATTATGCCATATTATGCCGCGTTTTTTGCCGCGTTTTTTTGCGATTTTTTCCCGCAATTTTCCCCGGGGACAGCATGCTACAAAATCCGGAATACTGACACCATTTAAAGTTTTGCTTTCACCATCCAATTTTACCAAAGTAGATGGTTCATTCGAAACCATTTTTGCCACAAAGCAGGAGCAAAATGGAGCAAAATATCGGAACGAAAGGCAATGCCAAGAATACGGAAAGTGCCCGGGCAAAAGTTGCCGGCAAAATATCGAAACGCCCCGAGCAAATTTGGGCTAGGCCTAGTCTGCATAGGAGAAGTCACATGGTCTCTGAGTCTGCACTCTGCATAGGAGAAGTCACATGGTCTCTGAGTCCGCATACTATAGCCTAGGAGAAGTCACATGGTCTCTGAGTCTGCATAGGAGAAGTCACGTAGTCATGAGTCAGGTTAGCGGCCGGCCAAGGCATGTCATTCTCAGGGCGAGGCCATAAACGTGTTCTTACGATTCACCACTGATCATGCGCCACGCTTGCAAATTCGGTGAACCAGGGGCGACGTTTGCAGTAGAGCGACCATGTACGTATGTTTGGATAACAAAAAAAGAAGAAAAAATACTGAAATCAGTGCTGAGGTGAGATTGCAATGCACCTGTGACTCAGAGTACAAACACACACACAGCAGGGGATGCAAGTGGCACATGAACACACGACATACTCATCTCCTCCAAAAGTACCTACATACAACACGCGCGCGTGCGCACACAAACACACACACATGCACATACGCAAGTGTGTGCGCACACACCCCTACACACAGACACACAGACAGACAGACACACACACACATACACTCACTCACACACAAACACACTCTCGCACACACTCGCTCACGCATGCAAATTATTATTTCTAGTCGACCAGATAGGCACGCCTGCTTGGCACATGAGCATATCCTACAAGTTACAGCACGTTGCGGCATGCCCTAGACCGATGGTTATTCATCACCCATAGGATTAGACCATTCACCTGGGTAGCCATGGCTACACTTGACTGTCCCCATGGAAACGCTCATCCTCCAAACCATTTGCCACAGGTGGTGTATTTCGCTTCAACGGGCAAGTAGCCACAATAGCCTGGATAGCTCTCCAGTGAGAATGTGTAGAGCAAGTGTCTCGACTGTCGAAAAGGGCAATCTCATCCCCCAAGCCACCGGTGACGGGAGCTGTATTCGGCTCCAGTGAACAAGTGGGTTCAACGTACTCGTTCGTTCTCGTGTGAGATGCAATATTTGCGGAAATGCCTCGACTGCCGGCTTTGGCAAGGTCATTCCGGAAACCGCCGGCCAAGGGTGGTGCGTTTGGCTCCAAAGAGCATGTAGGTTCAACGTACTCACTCATGCTTGCCATGCTCCTGGGAGGGTGATGTGCCGAAATGTCCTCTTCGGCCAGCTCCACAATGCTCTGCCGAGACTCACACTTGTTAGCGGGACTGTGACTCGATGCTGGTCTCAACGTCAGGCCCTGCAGACGCCTATCCGATGTGCAGCTAGATTTTCTGTCGTTGCTGCCGGTAGACTGGTCAGTTTCGTAGCCGGACGCGGTATTAGAAGTGTCCAGAAGTCCCGCTGAACTGCTGCGACCATACGATGCAGTTATGTCCTTGTATTCTGGCTCGCAACCCCTTTCGTCCGTTTCATTGCAGATCGCCGGGTCATTGGAAGCCTGCCACCCATCGATAGCCGTTTGACGGCGACTGTGCATGTAATTGCTAGTGATCCACGCAGGCCAGGAGGTCGTAACGCGCTGCACATGAACACACGCACAACATGCACATGGACAGACGTAACATGTGCATGGACAGACGTAACATGTGCATGGACAGACGTAACATGCACATGGACAGACGTAACATGTGCATGGACAGACACATACACGGACGGCGTGTCAGGAAGGGGAAGTGAAGCTGTGATCTCAGGCCCGTTAACTCATCAAGCCCTTTCTGACTAGAGACGGATGAAGGGGATATTCTCACCGCTATCTGGAGTACAGTGGAGTCGCGAGCTGAAGAACGTGGAGCCCAATAACGTCCAGCCTGAAATACTAAGAATGCCACAGCCTAAAGTTAAGAACGGCGGCGTTGGTTTTCTGGGAGCTTGTGGGATATACATATGATCCAGTACGGATTGTTTCTAATACGGTGTTACAAGAACGCAGCCAGATTGCTGAAGAAAATAAGAACGTCCCAGGCAAGCCCCTTGGAAACAACGTTCTTGGGCGCGCGACTCCACTGTACTGCATGCTCCAACACACGTAGGGTTGTGTGAATCCCTGTCGTTTCCTTTCCCATTTGCCTCACAATCTCTACATGTACGCGTCCACCGTGATTGGCTGGCACTCGCTCTCTTCACATTTGTCAGTGCTCCCACTGTGCATTGAGGCGTTGCAGAAAATGAAAAAATAAATAAATAATTCACTGGTTTGAGGGAAAGATGCAAGCGGGAAAAGTAAATAAATAAAATAATTAGTCAGCCTCTCCCCCCCCCCCCCCCCCCCACCAAACACACACGCACACACACGCACACACACACACACACACACATACACATGCTCACCCCCCCCCCACACACACACACACGCCCACGCGCACCGGGAGTGCGCTCCACCGTGTTCTCAGCATCCACACTATCCCTAACGGTCGCCGTTGCTGTTCCACCACACTCTCAGCCCTTACCTCGTGGTTTGCCGACTTCGACATGCATGCGCCGTACTTGCTGACTAGATAAGCCACGAGCAAGCCAAGCACAAAACCACCGATACCCGCCACTGCTATGATGACAATTTGTAGATGATGGCTGAAAGCGGATGAGGCTGTGTTGACACCCGGGGCCGCTGACGTTTCCGTTGCACTGGATGCTGTTGCCACGGGAGACGTTGCTATGCTTGAGCCTGCTCGGTGTTGGGGATTTCAACGCCAGCTGACAGGGGTACTGAGAATGACAGGCAATAAAGTCAGACGTCCAACGGACAGGAACGGGAGACAGAGGATGGCAGAGGGGAAGGGGATGAGGGGAAAGGGGCAGGGACACGACAGGGAGAAATGGGGTAGCAGAGGGTAAGGGGATCATGTGTGTGCGAGGGGCAGGGACAAGGCAGGACATACAGGGTAACAGAGAGGCAGGGACAAGGCAGGACATACGGGGTAACAGAGGGGCAGGGACAAGGCAGGACATACGGGTAACAGAGGGGAAGGGGATCAGGAATGAGGGAAGGAGTAGAGAGAGGGAAGTGCCAGAAGCAGGGAGTGTGTGTGTGTGTGGGGGGGGGGGGGGAGTATGACGTGTACCAATGGGGGAAAGATGACAAGCAGACAACAAGGACGTAGACAAACACGTTGAGAATGGAGGCGAGAGAGGGTAGACACAGAAGCACAAGCACAACGCAAGATTAGCAGGAT